AGGCGGGGGGGGGCCCCCTTGGGGGCCCCCCGAGAGGGAGAGGGAGGGGGCACGTCAAATCTGCTGCTGCGGCTCATGTCCTCCTGCTGCTGCTGCTGCTGCTGCTGCTGTGCTGCTGCTGCTGCTGCTGCTGCTGCGGAGGCGCGGCTGCCGAGAAAGAGCGCCGGGGCCCCTAAGCCCCAGGGGGCCCCGCTGCGGCTGCACCTGCTGGGGGCCCCCCTCCGCCGCAGGGGCCCCCGGGGCCTCTCGAAAAGTTTAAATAAATAAAAAAGTAAAAAAAATAAAAGTGCGGAGTTCTGGGGAGGGGCGGAGAGCCGCAGCGTGCGGGGTGAGGTGTCTAGACACCCCAGCTGCCACCAAACGGCCTCCCCGAAGAGCTCTTTCTTTCTTTTTCCTTCACTTCTTTCAATCTTTTCATTTAAAATTACTTTTAATTCAAAAACCCGCAAAAAACGACACAAACTGCGCCCCCAAACAGCCCCAACAGCCCCGGGGGCCCTCGGGGGGCCCCCGAGGGGCCCCATGGGGGCCCCCGGGGGCCCCCAGGGGCCCCCAGAGGAGTTCTTGCTGCAGGTGTAAATGAGTCATTTGTTTAGTTTTGTCTTTTAAATAAATATAATACCATTAAACGACCTTTTAGGGTTTAGTGGGATGTGTGGGTGAGGTGCGGCTGCTGCCCCCCGGATGCTGCACTCCCAAACCCTAAACCCTAAACCCTAAACCCTAAACCCTAAACTTTGGCGCTGCCGCTTTTCGCCTTTGCTGCTTCCTGCCGTCGCTGCAACGTCTGCTGCGGTGCGCTTTCGCTCGCCCCCGTCAGCAGCAGCAGCAGCAGCAGCACCTGCTGCTGCTGCAGCTGCTGCTGCTGCTGCTGCTGCTGCTGCTGCTGCTGCTTTCAATCTGTTGTTTTTGTCTTTCTTATGATTGAGTCAGAGTGGGGAGACCCCCCCATCAGCTCAGACGACGAGGGGGGCCCCCCTAGCCCTTCCCTGGGGGCCCCCGGGGCCCCGGGGGCCCCGGGGCCCTCGGGGGCCCCGGGGGCCCCCGGGGGCCCCCTGGGCCCCTGTTGCCTCTGGGGGGCCCCCCTGCTGCATGCAGCGCAGCAAAAGGGGGCCCCTCCTGGGTTGGGTCCATGTGTCCTTTGCTGCAGCAGCAGCTCCCGCGGCTGCTGCAGTCTTTGCTGCTCCAATGGAGGCCTCCAGGGGGCCCCCCGAGGGGCCCCCGGGGGCCCCCAGGGGGCCCCCCTTCAGTCCCCAGCTGCTGCAACTCTGGGGGCCCCCCAAGGGGGCCCCCAAGGGGGCCCCCCAGGGGGCCCCCCGGGGGGGCCCCCGGGGGGCCCCCCAGGGTCGCCTTTTAGCCCGCAGGGCTCTTCTGGGGGCCCCCGGCGGGCCTGCGGGGCCCCCGGCGCCGCGAGCCAGGCCCCCAACAGCAGCAGCAGCAGCAGCAGCAGCAGCAGCAGCAGCAGCAGCAGCAGCAGCAGCGAGGGTTTGCCAGTTTCGCTGCTGATGCTGCAGTACCCTCTTTTCTTTTGCGATGTGGATTTGCCTTTTACTTTGGAGTTGAAAAGAAGTTGGAGAGAAATTGGAGGCCTTGCTGCCTGGACCCTCAGCTCCGCCAGAGAAGGCAAACCCTAAACCCTAAACCCTAAACCCTAAACCCTAAACCCTAGACGCTAACCCCTAGGCGCTGAGGCGTCTTGTTGAGAGCGCTGCTGCAGCGGGAGGGCCTGCGGGGTAAGAGCCAGAAACAGCCTCGGCTCTAAACCCTTGCGAAGCTCAAAACCCTAAACCCTAGCTAAACCCTAATTTCCATTTCGGCCCCAAACCCTAAACCCTAATTCTTACACCCCAAACCCTCTTCAGCCCTCCTCTCCCCCCGCACAGTCTGGACACCCCTCGCCCCCTCCACGTTCAGCGTTCAGGGCTTAGGGTTTAGGGTTTAGGGTTTAGGGTTTAGGGTTTAGGGTTTAGGGTTTAGGGTTTGCAGGGAACGGGGTGGCGGCTTTGCGGGACAACAGCAGCAGCACTTTTTGGCAGTCCGAGGGTTTGTCTCCGCACGCGGTGTCTCTACAGTTCAACAAGGAGTTGCGAATTGCCCGAGTGGACATTTTGTTGAATTTGCATTTGGACGAAAGTTACACTCCCAAGAGAGTCCAAATCAAACTCGGTAAACCCTAAACCCTAAACCCTAAACCCTAAACCCTAAACCCTAGCGGGCGAGAAGCAGGGCCCCGGCGAAAAACGCCCCGCGACGCGCTCGAACCAGCCCCGGGGAAGCCCCCGAAGCCAAACCCTGGCTAAACCCTAAACCCTAAACCCTAAACCCTAAACCCTAAACCCTAAACCCTGAACCCTAGGCAAACCCTAAACGCTCAAACCCGCAGCGCGAGACACTCTCGTATTTGTTGATGTAGGAGGAATGCGAAGAAGCAGCAGCAACGGCGCAGCCTAACTCTAAACCCTAAACCCTAAACCCTAAACCCTAAACCCTAAACCCTCAGCAAGCGTCGACGCGGCAGCGCTAACAAACGCCCGGCCCCCTTGCTGCAGAGCCAAAAGCACACTGCCTAGGGCTTCGCCTCTAGGCCTTAGGGTCTAGCGTTTAGGGTTTAGGGTTTAGGGTTTAGGGTTTAGGGTTTAGGGTTTAGGGTTTGCGTGCAGGGTCTTGCCCCGCAACTTTGCGCGTAGTGAGAGATGTGGAGTTCGCTGCAGCAGATGAGCAAAACTGCTGGTGGGGAATTGAACTCAACGCAGTGCATGCACTCAAGGTACCCAAACCCTAAACCCTAAACCCTAAACCCTAAACCCTAAACCCTAAACCCTAGGTGAAGGGTGAAGGTATATTGAACAAATGGCTGAAATGGTGAACCTTAAAGGTTTTAAAAAAGAAAAATTTTCTTTTTCTTTTTTTTGTTTTTTTCATTCTTTGTCTTTTAAATATTTTTCTTTTTTAAATGTTTTTTAAATGTTTTTTTATCTTTTGAATTTCTTTTTTACTTTTAAAGTATTTCTTTTTTATTTAAAATATTTCTTTTTTTAATATTTCTTCTTTTGTGTCTCAAATGCTTCTTTTAATTTCCAAATATTTTCTTTTTAAATTTTTTTTCTTTTTAAAATATCTTTTTAAAATTATATCTTTTATGTTTGAATCATATTTTTATTTTTTAATGCTTTTCTTCAAAATGCACTTTTTTGCTTTTGAATTAAATCTCTTTTATTCAAAAGCAAAATAAACAAATTAAAAATAAATAAATTGAAAATGAATAAATTAAAAGTATATAAATTAAAAATAAATAAATTAAAAACAAATAAATTAAAAACAAATAGATTAAAAATAAATAATTAAAAATGAATAAATTTAAAATAAATAAATAAAAAATAAACAAATTAAAAACAAATAAATTAAAAATAAATAATTAAAAATAAATAAATTAAAAATAAATAAATAAAAATGTTTTGTGCAGGAAGCAAATGGCCTGGAAAGTGCAGAAGAGGAGTTGTTGAGTTTGCCACTTCCAGGTGTACATACACCTGAATACCTCAGAGCTGCTTGTCTCCAAATTGCTGTTCTTTCCACTCACCAGCAAGGCAGAGACACGCACATTCGACAGGTAAGCAGTGGTCAGCTTAGGGTTTAGGGTTTAGGGTTTAGGGTTTAGGGTTTAGGGTTTAGGGTTTAGGGTTTGCGGTTTAGGGTTTAGGGTTTAGGGTTTAGGGTTTAGGGTTTAGGGTTTAGGGTTTAGGGTTTAGGGTTTTGTTTTAGGGTTTAGGGTTTAGGGTTTAGGGTTTAGGGTTTAGGGTTTAGGGTTTAGGGTTTAGGGTTTAGGTTTAGGGTTTAGGGTTTAGGGTTTAGGGTTTAGGGTTTAGGGTTTAGGGTTTAGGGTTTAGGGTTTGGCGGAGGTTTGTGGGCTGGGGTTTGGGGTTTGGGTTTGGGGGGGCAAGCACCAGCAAGGCAGAGACACGCACATTCGACAGGTAATCAGGGTTTAGGGTTTAGGGTTTAGGGTTTAGGTTTTAGGGTTTAGGGTTTGGGGTTTAGGGTTTGGGTTGGGTTGGGGGGAAGCACCGGCAAGGCAGAGACATGCATATTCGACAGATAAGAATGGTTTAGGGTTTAGGGTTTAGCGTTCGGGTGGGTGAAGCACTAGAGAGGCAGCGAGAGCCTTTTAGGGTTTAGGGTTTAGGGTTTAGGGTTTAGGGTTTGGCGCAGGTTAGGGTTTACGGCCCCATGGAAGACTGCGACGAACGAGAAGGAGCGCCTCCGGCGGCCTTTGCCCCCGAGATGTCCTCAATGCCAAG